TTATCTCAGAAACGGCTGGGCCTATCTTTGCCAAAAACTAATTACTACGTTTTTTATCATTACAAATTGAATGTTTTTCATTTTCATTCAAATCGGATGCAAAAAAAAATATTTTTGATTTTTGGACGATTGCAATAACTTACCCTACGGGAAATTAAAAAAACCAACTTTGCTAGCTTAACTACTACTGAAAAAGGTTAAATAATGGTTGAATAGAATTATTTTTTAGATTTTAAGTTACTTTAAACGACAAGTCTGTTGGTTTGAACCTATGGAGAAAAAAAATGCGTTACAGGTTGTCACGAGTCACAAATGAGCATTTGCCCTAATAATAACTTATATTTAAATATGTTCATTCATATTTTATTGTTCATGTCAACTGATGACAACATCAGCGACTTCTTTTATCTCTGCGAAAAAGAAATTTTGATCTTAAGTGAAATGTATGTATCTGATGCTAATAACATGTCTTTTTATTATTAATATGTTTGATAGACAAATATTTTATCGGTAATATAATAATAAAATAAATAAAGTATATCGATACAATTTAAATTCATATTTTATCAATAATATTTATATTGTTTTTCATATTTTACATATTTATAAATAGCAAATAAATTATTATGAATGAGAGAAAAAACATGGTACTTTCGAAGAAGTATTGATGTTAGAAAAATAAATATTTTTATCAATTATACATACACATACAAGCCAAAACTTACACATTCGTATATGACATAAATATATCCATTTGTTGCAAAATGTAAAATTATTTATATTCGTAATATATGATGTTTAGTCGAATGCCACACGAAGTTGTGTCGATCATTTCGCCTGTTTTCGCTCTTTCGCGCTGGCATTTCACAGATGGAACGAGCGAGTTCACCAGTATGACATACGCAGCGATCGAGCGCCAGCGTTCATGTGAATAAAACCACCGGCCATGTTGCATTTAATCATAAGGAACGGTTTTAGTGAATGAAATATAGTTTTCAGCATTAGTTGTGTTTTAAATGTGTTAAAAAGGATTTTTAGTGATTTAAATTGTGTGCAGTGATATTTTACCACCACATAATGAATTGGGAACCGAATATGGGTAAGAGAATATAGAATATGAAATATTATTGTTGCACTGACTCGCCCTTCAGCCGTATCGAGTCTATGTTAGCAGTTGTCAAACTACTGTATGCAGTTTATTTATTTACTTGTTTCTCATGTTTTGAGCATTATTAATTTATATTTTTTGTTTATATATAAATGCTGTATATCATAAAACAACTTATTTAATTGTTTACATTAATAATTTTATAAAATTATATTTATTTGTATTTGTGATTTTTTGCTTATATCGCAATTTATTTTACAAAAACAAACTAATATATTCATATAATATCATGCTGAAACTGTTTCAATTCAACTTTCTTCTTGATTCATCATTTCATGCTACAATATCTTTGTATCAGATTATTAAATATTCGACATTTTTTGTCGCAAGGTATTGCATGTGTTTGAAAATACCTTTTTTCTCTAAGGTGGATTCAGCAAAATTCCGTATTTATGAACCGTATTTGAAACATTCTATAAATACATTGACTTATTTTTGATAGTATATTTTTCATGAAGTAAAAATTGTATAAGCGAAATGAATGAAGAATTTTCTGAAAATATTTCAGAAAAGAAATATTTTCATCGTTAAGCAATTAAATATATTGAGCTTTTGGAATATGATGAAAAATGTAAACATTTTTAATAGACAAAACTAATTTAACAATGAACTAGTGGAGTGCATGGCATCGTGCCTTAAGGCAAATTGCTCGAACTTTCCGTACCGTAATCAAAAATCTTGGTACGGAACCAAAAAAAATTATACAAAATGTGTACACATTATTAAAATCTCTAAAATATCTGACAATTTGATGTGCCTATGTCCAATAAACATTTTTGACCGCCAAATAACATTTTTTAACTTATTTTTACTGAGAGTCCATAACCGCTGGACCTGCCTTCCCAAAAATTAATCACTTCTTCATCTTGTCAATATGTACAAGTAAAATGTTTTTTGAATTATTAAAATCGGACGCTCCGTTTTCTTAAAAACTCAGTTATCGTTTTTGCCACTTTTTGCCCCGTATCTTCGGAGCTAATCAGCATTTCTTTTTATCAATACGAATCGAATGTTTTTTGGATTGTTCAAATCGGTTGATCGGTGTTCCCGAAATCGTCGACGAAAATTTGTATCCGCACACACACACACATATACATTCATTTTTTCTAAGGTATGTCAAAATTTAATTTTTTATTTTCGATTTTTTGCGATTACTATAACTTACCCTTCGAAAGTTAAAAATTTAATATTTTTAAATTGTGAAAAATTATGACAAATGTCATTTAACGGTTTGTTTGACCAGTGAACAAAAATTACTGTTATATATATTATTATTCTTATCATATCATATTACTCAAACATATATTAACTTTACAAACTTAATTTAAGTGTGGATAATGAGCATAATTTTTTTTTCTTTGATAAAATTTCAATCAATTATTATTGATATTTTTATTCCAATATTAAAAGCATCTAATTCGCCCCATGCATTTTATTCTTTTATCACATGTGTTTTTAAAACATATAAAATTATTGAATAAGAAAATAATTTTAAAATTCCTGAAGTTTAAATAAAAAAAGAGTGCGCGTAAGGATCACACGCGATTGAAGTAAAACTTTTAATATTGTATGAGTAGGCAATTAGATAAAAATAAAAAAAAAAACATCATATTTGAATTTAAAAATCATTTATTAATAATCACATAACATCAATAACACAGTTTAAAACAACAGCGATAGATTAATTGCTACCATATTTCATATATGATATAATAGGTTTGTGATAACTGAAATGAGAGACATAAATTTTGCTTTGTAAACTATGTACATTTCTGGAGAAAACTGCATCAATAGTCGTGCCATATCTTGTGGGTGATTCAAATGGAGAATTATTCATTGTTAAATTAAATTTATTATTTAAAAATCAATTAATGGTTGAGATTCTTCTGAACGAAAATTGACATTGAAATCTCCAGCAAGAATTAATGGTATCTCGTTGTGATTAGTGTTTAAAA